CGGTATTCCTTTGGATACTGCAGTGGCCGATATTGATTATATGGATCGATACAAAGATTTCACGACTGGCCAAGTATGTTACATTATTGGAGCAACCCTCATGTTCGAATCTTCGTAATATAGACAATGTGAAGAGGCCCTGAAGTGGCTAGCTGAAAGGAAATGAGCCTTTCCAAAGCGTAACATGTGTAGCGAGTCTCAAACAGGAGCAGCTGGAAAGAGTTGAAAAGAATCATTCAGAATTGGACAGGACTGTCGGACTACGTGAAGAAGCTGCACAGCTGGGGAATGCGCACTATTCTCATCTTCGATCCAGCGATTCAAGTTGATTACGAATCTTTCCAACGAGGTGTTGACGCGGTCAGAGATATTTGCATATGATTGCTCGTGATTATTTTGATTCACAAAACGGGTGGAGGTAGTGAACGCAGTGGCGTTGTCTACATGCGCGCTTAAAACTACGTTATATGTTTTACCAGTGAGGTGGACTGTGGCCGTGTGTGAGGGGATATAGGTGCTCAGTGAAGAAGTGAGGCAAAATAGTCCTTGGAAATGAACGTACAGACGTAAGATCGAAGTTGGGCGTCCTTGCTGAACTAATGTGGGCCTTCATCTGAACGCGCGTCGACTTATTAGAGACTGTTTGCAAACGGATTGGAAACGCTCTCTGCGTTCAGTTGTTTTTTTCAAAAACTTCAGAGAGGAAAGGACATTATGGGCGGCGGATCCAATGAGCCTGGCAGAAGTTTTAGCGGAAAGAATTTCAACCTTTCAAGAAAGCATAGCCAATTGTTGCAAAACATTGACGGGCTGTTTTTTATGAGCTTACTTTTGTAGGAACTTCTTCCATACCTTCCTTACAAGCATTTCGTCCAATTTTATTTGTTGTTTCAAGAAGGCTCGCTTCATAGAATGGGAACGAGCGGATCAAGTAATGCGGTCAATACAGGTACATAATTAAATTCATGCAAAGACAGCTCCCGCGATCGCCTTTCGCATGCTTTAGAGCAGATAACCATTAGATTACGAGGTAAATGAATTGCCATTGAAAAAAGAAATCGTCAGAAACCGTAAAGACCCCCATGTGCGGTTTCGTTAAAAATGGACCGACCTAACCGAACGTTGGGCGAGTTCTCTGAACCTAGCCGCGGCCTCGCTGCTACTCGCTCTCTCTAAGGCGTGTTCGATGAGACCTTTTTCTCCGAGATCATTATCACCGCCAACGAGACTTGATTACGAAAATCGATCGAGGAGGGCGGAGTCAGCTCATTGTAGCTCAGTCCACCTCAGTTTATCAAGCGATTTCAAGTCGCAGGAGCAGGTCATCCTCGGTGATTGCGGACTCCCATCCGTACACATGTTAAGGATTTTGCACATTTTCTATTGCAGACGCTGTCTTTGGTTGCACCTAGAGTCCTTCAACGCCCTAGGCACCAACATAGAGGCGGGAAAACCAATTTTCGTGAGGGATTCCAGATTTTGATATGGGTAGTGCTACCGACCATTTTCTCAGTCAACCTATATGGTTTACGCCTAGTGATCTCAACTTTTCTGCTGGACACCAGAGCAGGACCTATTCGAAAAAGAATTTCCAAATCTTCACAGGGTGATCTTGCATCGTTGTCAGTATGATCGAGTAGTAGGCTTCTGCATTACGAGTGTCCTTTTGGGGTGAAAATAAAATCCGTCAAACCAACAACAATTCGGTAGCTCAAGCTATCATGTGTAGCGTCAAACCTGGCATCCCTATGAGGCGGTGAGAAAACGGCTTCTCGGGGATTCGATGGGAGCGACGAAAATAGACACGAAGATCTTCTTCAAAGGCCAGTTGGTACGATGGTTTCCTACTTAGGCCCAAAATGCTAGTAGGGCGCTATATAGTGGGGAAATGGCGAAAGAACGGAGTGAAACGGTCAAAATCCTGCGAAAAAAAGCCTCCGTTCTCAGTGACTTGTAAATCGATTTCGGACGAGTTTCCCGTAGGCATCTTACCAATCACCGCTACCGAAGATACGGCTGCATATGCATACGTGTACCCATGTATGCATATGCAGCCGTATCACCGCTTCATACCAATCCCTTCGCTTGAAGTGAATGAATAACGACGTCCAATGAAATTACGAGCGGGCAAAACGGTCGTCCATTTGTGGGCGGGCCCGGTGCGTGACGGGTTAGGGATGTCACGTTGTGGCTTGATAGGAGCCTTATAAAAGCACCTTTCTCGGGGAAGCCGCTATGCAGCGCCTGCCCGGGGTGGCGGAATTCTATCCTGTCAGGAGTATTGATCCTAGTCGTTTTGGGATTTGTATTCGTGCCACTAGCCATCAAAAGAACGACATGAGTACGCCACACACCATTTGAGGAGGTATGTGACTACCAGCCCCCCAGCTGTCCGAGCCATAGCTCCCGCGCAAACATGCCCAGGAATGGAGATACAGGACCGTGAAACACGCTAATTCCTCCATGCTCCGCCTTATACCTTTTTGCGGCGCAGATTCCCGTCCTTCATAACATCCGTCGTAAGCGCGCGTGTCGCGTGCGGCTCCTTGGCACTTTGCCAAGTCCTTTAATTGCGCTCTCAAATACAGAGTAACGCGGAATTCTGAATGCGGATAACAATGGAGGTGGCTGCCAAAATCGAGAAGCAGAAGATGATGACGAGGGCCAGAACTCAAGAGCAACTCGGCTGCATCTGCAGTATCCATCAGAGGCCGCGCATTCCCACAAAACATGAGAATAAAAACAGCCCAAGCGTCCCACTCGTTTGTTCTAAGTATTTCTATGGCTTTGGCGCCGGATTCGCGCCGGATCGTAGAAATTTACAGGCGATTTTAACTAATTTGCCTTTCCTTGATTTTTTCATTTTTGTTTTATTTACATTTACATCGTTGTGTGTTATTCTAGCCTGTGTCATCTTCATCTCCTTGTACATAGATTTTGAAGCATGAGCAACACCTCAAATTTTATTCGCATCAGGAAATTGCGTTTTGCTTGTATCAAACTAACGAGTATGCCGTTTTTATTTTCATGTTTCGTGGACATACGCGGCCTCCGAGGGATGTTGCAGAAGTGGCACAGTTGCTTTTAAGTTCTGACCCTCGTCATCATCTTCTGTTCTTATTTTGCAGCACCTCCAATGTTATCCGCATCAGGAAATTGCGTTTTACTTGTATTTGAAAGGACTTGGCAAAGTGCCAAGGAGCCGCACGCGACACGCGCGCTTACGACGGATGTTATGAAGGACGGGAATCTGCGCCGCAAAAAGGCATTGGGCGCGATAAAAGGCATGGACGAACTAGCGTGTTTCACGGTCCTGTATCTCCATTCCTGCGCATGTTTGAACGGGGAAACCGCTATGCTTCGACAGCTGGGGGGCTGCTAGTCACATACACCCTCAATGTGTGTGAGCGTACTATGTGTCTTTAAAGACAATCTGCGATCAAGCTTGCTGGTAGTTGGGCTCCGTCATGAACATGGTCCGTACCAGATGTCTGTGGAGAACACTCACATCGAAGAACGGTGGGTTCTCATCCTCATGTTTAAGAGTACGATGCTTGGAGAACGCGTTGTGTGGGTAGGCAGCGGGATTGGCCAGTGCTCTTCTGTGTTCGTCCAAACGAATCTTCAGCGGTCTTCCAGTCTCTCCCACGTACTTTTCTCCGACCAATTCTCGCGAGGATTAAATACACAGTGCCCACAGTGCCTTTGAGTTCACAGATCTTCTCAGATGAACAGTATCGACATGACTGTTCGTGACACCGATGTTCGTAGATCCGGGAAGAAGTAAGGAGGTCCTTGAGTGTGGGGGGAGGGCGGAAGACGAGTCGGATGGGAAGCCTGGAATTCTTTACCACGCGGTTCACTTCACGTGCCATTTTGTCGTTCACAAAAGGCAATGTGAGAGTGACCCCGTCTGGTGATCTATGTGGAACCCATGTTTTGAAATTCCCTTCGAAATATCCGTTGCTTGCAAGGATATTTTTGATCTGTGCGTCTACGGATGGGTCCCTTCGTGTTCCAAGTTTCTCCTTCGTTCTGATAAGATTCCGTGCGACATTCGCCTTCATATAAATCGGATGAGCACTCCTGGAATGCAACAAGATGTTAGAAGAGGCCTTTTTCTTGTACCAAAGGTGTTCCTTGTAGCCCTCACGTATACGGACTTTTGTATTGAGGAACGGTAAAAATCCATCCGCTCCTGGGTCTTCTTTGGTGAAGGCTATGTTAGCATCGTGTGAATTCAGTCTCTCCAAGGTTCTCACAAGATCTTCCTCTGTTATCGCGATAACAAACACGTCATCAAATCAATGTAGCGTTTGTAGTATATAATTCCACTTGTCAATGATGACTTCTCGATGTGATCCAAGAAGATGACTGCAAGCACAGGTGCTATACGGTTGCCCATGGCAAGACCTCGTTTTTGCTTGTAAAAGGTGTTGTCAAAGCAAAAAATGTTGCATTCCAGTGCTGCTTCGATAAGCTCCTTCACTTCGCTTGTGGAGAATCCCATTAACGAGACGTGATCTTGATTCTCTTCGAGAAGGGATAGGACAGCTTGAACTGCGTCCATATTGTTCACATTGTGTAAGGGACACAACATCGAAGCTAGCGATTTTTTTGAGAAAGGTGTGGCGCAAGTGGCGCGAAATTGGCACCTAATGGCGCCAAATGGCGCCACGGCGAGAAATGAATGTCATTTTCGTAAACAGGGCTTTGAGTAGCCCCAGTAATCGAGTTTACCGACTTGTCTGGGAAAAGTAGTGCGCCGCAAGGTGGCGCAAGTGCGCCAAAGTGGCCGGCCAGCAAAAAACCAATTTTAGTAGAATTATTAATTAAATTTTTATATATATGAGCATACCCTCGGATAGAGCTCGGCGAGCTGATTCTAATAATATATGGGTATCCATACAAAAAATCAAAAAGAACAGCTCTATAACGAAAAAACGAAAAAAAACGCGGATCGGCGTTTTTTCGTAAATTTTTGAACACTACGGTTGGGTACTGTACTTGCACTGGAGTCGAAAACAGGCTTAGGTGCCGTCGCCTTAACGCGAGGGCCAGGCGGTTTCGTGCCATGCAAAAGTGACATCCATGTTCACGAGGTCAAAATCGCTTTCCAGCGATCTGCGTGGCTTCTGGATTATTTTGGCGCTCGCACATGCCTGTTCGACTTCTGGCACCGAGGCCGTTTCGGGCGAGGCAAATCTGATATTAGTGTTCAGTGGGTCAACGTTCTGGAGACAAGTTTTTAGCCAAATCTGCCTTTGTAGAAAACGCTGATTAACAAAAAACTAGTTTGATTTCGGAAGATTTGGGCAATGAGGACAAACAGCGCCAGAAGGTTTAATAGTGCTTTGTGAACCGGATCATACCTTTTCAAACGATGTATTACCAATGTTCTAAAGAAGTAGTATTTTCGAAAGGAAAATGAGGGAAAAAATTTTCCTCAACCAATTTATTGATTATCCGGGACCGAGCTCTGAAAGGAAGCGTTACGTGCATCTTCAAAATGCAAGAGATGATATCTGATGTGGTCTCTTATAGAAGTCGTAGTTGGTGCTAGTATGACTCGAACTGGTTACAGGACAAATACCCACTGGTTAAAGACACTAAGATCATGCTTGGAGTGGTGTGGCCAGACCGTCACGTCGCTTTTCCTGACTTTTTTGACCCAAACCAATGCCAACACAGAACTGGTGGATTCAAGAATTTTGCTACTTATCAGCAGCAGGTAGTCCAAACCTCTTTTGAATGAGAGTTCATTCTAGAAAATCATAATACTAACCACCAACAACTTGTCATCTAAGCGGGACTCTTTTCACTTTAGGTGCCTTACGACGGTATTTGGATCGATATGAACGAGCCGGCTAATTTTGGCACCAACGAAGCGAATCCGTGGTATTTTGGCAAGTGAGGAATCATCAGACGATGACCGATGCATAGTGTCCGATGAACAGCACAGACGGTCAATGGGATATGCCACCGTATAAAACACATGCCGTCTATAACTATGGGCAGGTTAGTACGACAGCAAAAGTCGCAGATCGGCTTCATGGGGCCACCAAATAGTACCGACCTGTAATCATGATAGCTCACGTGTTCCATTTTGCAGCTACCCAGTAGTTTACAAGTCACTAAAGTGAGACGTGTTACTTAACATCAACTAGCAATTGCGAAAAATACCCTCCCCCCTCTAGGCCGACGTCTAGAGTCTAGACGTCAGTCTAGACCAAATCTCAACAGATGTCAGTTTTAGGGAGCATACCTGGCCTCAAAACTACTGTGATGTTGGGCGTACAAGCAGATGGTAAGCAACGATTCTACAATCTCAAGAATCTCTACGGCTGGAGTGAGGCGAGAGCGACGCAACAGGCGCAACATGCAGCAACCGGAAAGAGAGGAGCTGTTATTTCTCGGTGAGGCAATCGTACGCCAGTCTTGCATGAGAATTCATTTAAGACTCGTTAAAATAAAAACAAATTTGTTTGACAGTGCAATCGGACCACTTTATCCCTTTCCTGGAAAATAAGATGGAGAACCCTGTGCTCTCCACTCCCTAAAGATCAGACTGTTCCATCTGCTTTTTTTTCAAAATAGTTCAGACTGAAAATTGACCCCGAGAACTAGTTTGGTTGACCTCGAGAAGTAGTTTGACTCTTATGGAGCGCCAATATAACATTCACTAGGGTGTTAAGGCAGTCAAGAATGTGAACGGTATGAGAGGGACACGAGCGTTTTCCGCCCGACTGCACCCTTTGTGCGTGATCTGTTGAAAATGTTTTAGCATGGAGACTCCCAGTTAACGACCAAGGCCCTGTTCAACATATGCTCTCAGTTCCGCCAGGCAAGAACCGCTGAAGTGCCGTCAAGGTGCCGGGTTCAGCGAAGTCGATGGTATAAGGCTTCATGCATAATTTTTTGCCCTGACTTCGAAACCTGGGGCAGTAAAAGGTCAACAGTAAGGGAAAGTCAAGTGAGGCACGACTTCTTTATGTCTATTTCCATGCACGGAGGTGCTGACTGTAATAGTAGGCTCCACCTGTGGGGCCGGGGTGTGTAGCAACAGAATCGTCCGGTGCAGCTGGTGGGCGTGGCCTGCGACATCCTTGCGGCGAGAAGACGAATCATGCGTCTGGCCGTTTGAATAGGGATATTGAAGGGACGGTGAAGACTGATATCACTGTGGATCTTTAACATTTGCTCTGGTGTGTCATCTTTTACAGCAGCTCACAGGAAAACTTGACCATTCATCTATTAAATGTTGACGCTGACGACTGCGCGAATCATGTGAACCACATAAACATAGGGAGAATAACAGCCTTATCTGATTTCTTTTGTATTGTTTATTTCCTGAAGTTGCGTCTATGGATCCGCCAAACAATTGTGTGTTACTATCGAGAAAAACCGTTGAATTTTCGATTATTGATGAGAGCCGGTGAACGTTGCGGATGTACGCTGTAGTAAATCATTTGCTCCAGTCGCAAAGCTATCGGCTAGCAAATGCACGTCCGTGAGCTGCTGCGTCATTCGCCGCGCGACCGCGTGCGGCTGGCGCTGCCCCGGATGATTCTGTTGCACTTCTCCCTGGGAGAAGGGAGAATATCGATTACGCTTCGCGCGCACTATATTCGTACAGAGTGTGCGTGAGAAGGGTCAAGATGCAGAGCTTCGAGAGTCAGAGAGACGAGGGACTTCAATAGAAGTAATGGCTGAAACTGGAGTTTATGGGGGGATATCTGCCCTTGAGGGGAGGGGGACATAGAATACGATTTGTAGAAAAAAATGAATAAATGAATGATCGGATGGTCCAAACAGAGTTCAGCTTAGCGTTTTCATTCCAGACATGGCTGATGACACAGACCCCGGTAAGCTCTGCTCGGTTTCCATGCTCAACTCTGAGTCATATGACTGTGATGTAGATGAGTACCTGTTGCGCAAGCATCGTCGAAAATCAGATGAGGGACAAAGGACATTTAAAAGGAGGACATTCAGAACGAAAGATCGACGGATGGCTAGAAAGCCACACCAAGACATAGCAGCAATAGTCGCAGCATATATAGCAGTAGTGTCACAAACCCCTCAGAATTCGCTAATGGCAAGAGTGTCGCTGGCATTGCCAAGCAGATCTATACAAACGTCAGCGTTCGTGTAATTCTGCATTTTCCGCTTTCCGGATGTGTAGGGACTAGCGGAGGTGACCATAAGATGCTGTTATATGGAAAAACGTCTCCAAGGAGTAAGTCAAAAGTACATGAGCGATGTTATGTTTTCCAGGTCTACTTTCATCTCATCCGGCAGGTTTGCCGGCCACTGGCTGGGTGACAATACCGCAGAATGGCGAGACCTTCAAACGTCAGTCATTGGAGCGCAGGAGTTTAACATGTTTGGCATACCGTAAGTACACCTTTCCACTACAATGGCTAGTGGCTTTCTATGATGAAGTCCACCCAGGTTTTTTAAAGGCAAGTGGTACCCGGCAAGGCATACAGGGTCCCCTAGAACGAAAGATATTGTGCCCCTTAACAAGCGCTTTGTGGCGCCTTTTCCCAACCTAGGGTACCGTTGAAGCTCCTAACCAAGGTACAACACGCTGATCTAGACACCCATCGCAACCGCCCGCCGCAAATGTCATATCGAAATTATTACTGTTATCACTTCATTTACGTAGTACAACTGATATGAAGTGTTTCTACAGGTACATATAACTAAACTATCTATAGAGTTCCATCTATAAAAGCGCTTGTTGGCACGATGCCAACGGGGAACTTATTCAGGAACGCTCGTCCAATGCTGTTCAGAACAAAGGCTTTTCCGCACGTTTCTGACCGTTTAACTTCATTTCCCCCACTATGTAGCACCTCTGCTACATTTTCGAGCAAGTACCAAATCACGCGCCTTATGCCTTCGAATTCTGAATGGAAGTAGAATGCGTGCCGCATCCCACAAAGGGATTCATCAACGGCGAAGACTTTATCCTTTCTGCCTTCGAAGACGTATGACGAAAAAGGGAAATGAACAGAAGCGAGCGAAAAGGTCCCTGTTCAATCCAGCAATGGATTACTATGAGACTAACAAGCAGTTTTTGAAAGTGTTCTCGCTGGCATCATACCAACAAAGAGTACGACGTAATGTACAGTCATGTTCTGCAGATGCTTGGGCATGCCAGGGCAACTGGCTGAGAATGAGGACGGCACGCCAAAGCCAGCCCCTGCCACGCCCCAGCATCTGCAGCGAACAAGACCGCGTACATGCAGCACATCGCTCAAATGTGACTGTGTTCCATGAGTGAGACGACTCTGCAGAGGGGGCGGTACTTCTTATATGCAATGTCTTGTTAATCTACTCCAGAGAGCCCCACGTCTTTATCCATTTCACATATCGCCTGTCAGGGAGTTGGCTTCCTTTTTCGTTATTCCTTTCGATCTTATAGGCATATTTGATTTAGTGTAACTTATGTGTTGAAAGACACATTCCGCGACTGTTAGTCAAGGGTAATGCAGTCCAAGAGTGCATTTTTATTAGGTTGTCCGGAAAGTTCTCAGCGTTTTGTGTTACTATTTTTTGTACATTCATTGCTGATTAAAAACTCATTCTCCCTTGCGTCTCAGTAGTACATCCTGAAGAGAATTCTTTGCGCTATCTGATGGTATAATTGCCGTTTCACCATTGCTTGATTGAACCCCTTTTTTCAAGATTTTTCAAGCATGTCAAAAGAGCAACTTCGGACGATATTGTTCTTCAACTACAAATTGGGTCAATCCGCAGTCGAGACAGCTCGACAAATTAACCAGGTGTGGGGGCCCAATAGTGTTGGAGAAAGCACAGTGCGACAATGGTTTCTCTG